CCGCCGCGGCGCCCGCCCCTCTCGCAGCGCCGGCGCGCCGCTCCACCTCCTCGCCCCCCCGCGCGATCTACACCCACACAAAGCCGCCCCCCTCCTGCCCTAACCCCCCCCCCTGGCAGGACGAGAACCGTCGCGGGTTGGCTCCTGAGCTGGAGGGTTTTGCCGTGAGCCTGACCCCCAACGAGCTGCACTGGGTGGTGCTCAACCTGCTGTACAAGCTGCTGGTCCTCATGATGCCGCAGGTGAGGGCGGGGCTCGACACCCGCCGTGGGGCAGGGGAGGAGATTTGGGAGGGTTGCTGATGAGATTGCTGACTGTGTCCCTTCCAGGGTACACATCCTGCCTGAGGCGGCTGGGGAGACTGGAACAGCCTCGGGTTTGAGGTTGGGAGGGGCGTGGTTTTTGGCCTGATTAGTGCACGCGCCGAGCGGCACGACAGCAGTGCGTGTGTGCCGGCCTCTCACACCTGGGTCACAATCGGGATGCAGCCACTAGCCGCAAGACACCACAGACCCCCGGCTGCGCCGCGCGGCCGCTGCAGGCAAGCAAGAGCCAGGCGGCGCGCGAGGCGCTGCTTGATGCGCAGCGCCAGGCCGGGTTCAAGATGGTCAAGGCGCTGCCCCACAAGGCGGACGGCTACTGGCGCGCGGGCACGCCCTGCTTCAACCAGGTCAACGCGCGGCTCGCGCTCAGGTGGGCGGGGCACGCGGGGGCGTGCTGGTGCGAGGCGTTGCTTTCTGTGGCGCACAAGGCTGGTGAAACCAGAAGAGGTGGCTGCCTAGGGCATCGCAAAGGGGCCCTGAGTCGCGCCCCATGATGGCAAAGGCTTGCGGCCTGCATGGCCGCGCCGCTCGCTCAGGCGGCCCCAGCCCAACTCCTGCAAGCTTGCTGTCCCTTCGACGTCCGCACTCCCTTTCCCCTTGGTGCCTCACTCACTGGCTGTTTCTCTCCCGCCTCGCACGGATCCCCATCCCTCGCATCCTAACCCACCCGCCCCCCGCCCTGCCGACAAACCTACATCCCACGATCCACCACCACCTTGAGCCCGAAAGCTGCCGCACCTGACAACACGCCGGCCCCAAATACATCAGCCGTGGGCACCTGCAGCGAGCCGACCCACAACATTCTCGCACATCCTCCCAGCCAGCTAACCCCAAGCCTCAAACCTTGAACCCCACTGCAGCTACTATCTGAAGGGCATCGAGGCGGCTGATGAAGAGGGGGACGCATTCTACAGCTGCACCCTGCGCTACGAGGCGGCCTGGGCGATCATTTCTGGCGGGGAGGGGCCCACCTTTACGCTGCAACGCGTACAGCCACTTATTCAGGAGGTGAGCTCCCGTCTCGGAGACGGGGGTGAGAGCGGAGGCACGGGGTCGCGCTGCAGGGAATTGGTCTGCCCACCCGCACTGAGTCATCAGGCCTCCAAGCGCCCTGCAAGTGGCACAGTATGGTGCTTGGGTGCTGAGGTGCCCTTGCCTTCACACACACGCTCTGCAACATGTGCCCGTGCGCACGCACCCGCGCGCGCGCACACACACACACACACACAACGCTCACCCACAGAGGGACGCCCTGCTGCACCCTGCACAGCGGCAAGGGTGTGCCTCCCCCCCCC